AGAGGGGAGGGGAGGGGAGGGAAGGAGGGTTAGAATTTGGAACTCAAAACAAAAAAACTCCAAATGTTTAAAAATTGTTTTAACATGTAATGAAGGATAAATAAATCTATCTATCTATCTATCTATGAATTATAACCTAGGGCTCTTCTCCAGGACTTGCATGCAAAGAAAGTTACAGAAGGATCACTGATTTCAACACATTAGAGAACTCAATTTTTTTTTTTTACTATTTTCCATTCAAATAACTCACAATAAATGCCATTCTAGGGTTTTCCTAATAAGTACACATATAGTATAAAATCCTCAGTTTAGTAGATGTTATAAAGAAAAAACACAGAATAGAGAGTCGAAAGACTTGGGCTTAAATCCCATCTCTGACATTAATTAATTAATGTGATCATATTAGTTAATTAATGTGATCTCAGTAAGGCCACTTAAAATAAAAATACATTTAATCAGCACTGAATGGGAAGGTATCAGCTATGAATTATTCTCCTCCACACACCAAAATGGTCATCATCCCCCATGGACCTTCACTGTATACTCTCCAAGACAACTTAGTGCTGCTCCCCTGCTCTTTCTTCTGGGAGTTGTATTTCACTCCCTCTGTTCCCTCATTGAGCTGCTGCTGGATTCTGCTGTTGGACTTTTCTGCTGAGCTTCTGCTCTCATCTACTGCTGGACTTCTTCCCCCACAGAGAGGGCTGCTGTTCTTTTGTGAAATAGCCCATGACTCAGACTGTTCAAGCACTTTTATCAGATGAGACCGTAGCTATTCACAGTCAACACAGAAGAGAGCCCCTTAGATGAAAGTTTTTCTTTTTCTTTAAAAAAAAAAATCACCTTACTCCTCCTCAGCATGAACTCCCCAAGACTGACTTGATATTTATATTGAGGTGAGTATATATGTCAACTCTTATAATGCCACTGGCAGCTAGTTCCAAGGCCTTCCAAATTACCCTGGAGTTTTAATTAGGAACATGGGAGGGGCAGGCTGGAGCTGCCTACATTTCTGCAGCTATGCCCAGGTCAGTATGTCCCTTACATAAGATGATCTTTTTTTTGTCCTATTACCCTAAACTTTTGTTTATCTAATGAAGGTCATGGAATGCCATGGTCCAGTTCCCCCCCCCTCCCCCCAAGTCTGATAAATTTAGGTCCTGGGGGTAGGGCATAATTCCTACTTTATATAATGCCCTACTACTTCTTGAAAGCCCCTAGTTTCTTTTTAGGCAGTTACTAATCATTATAGCCAGCAGTAAAGCAGAGATTGAAAAACAGTAGCTGGAAGGGATCTTTGAGAATACCTTGCTCAACTTCCTTATTTTAAAGATGAGGTTTCTGAGTCCAAGAGATGTTAAGGGACCTGTCCAAGGTCATAGAACTAGTAGATAGCAGAGCTGGGATTGGAAGTCATTTACTCTGACTCCAAATCAATGTTGTTGTTTTTTTTTAAATTAACTCCTACTACCTGAGTTCAAATCCAACCTCAGACACTTACTAGCTGTGTGACCCTGGGCAAGTCACTTAACCTTGTTAGCCTCAGTTTCCTCATCTGTAAAATGAGCTGGAGAAAGAAAAGGCAAACAAGAAAACCTTGAATGGGGTCATGCAGTGTGGGGCATGACTGAAATGACTGAACAACAATAATACCCTCTCATATGAGAAGAACATAAGATAAGAGATTAGATGACTTTCCAACCAAAACGAATGCCATTCGAGATCACAGGGATTTGACCCAAGAAACAAAGATGTAGGCTAACTGTGAACTCTAGGTGTTTGACATAACAATCTAGGTCATTCTGAGCAAAATTCAGTTCCTCCCCAATTTATCAATTTGACATACCTTATCAAGTTTATTTTCCTAAATATAGATCCAACCATGTATGGTCTGACTACCTCTTTATTCCAAAAAATCTTAAGTAGGTTCAAGTTGTGTCTAGAATAAAATACAAATTCTTCAACTTGACATTTAAAGCTCACTACAATGTTGTTCCTACTTAATTTTTTTCCAATTAAAAAATGTGATTCTCTTTTCACTTACCCTCCAGTCTGAGCTATCAGCTGTTTCTCACCCATAACATTCCATCACCAGCCTCTGTATCTTTGTACAAATGGCCTCCTGTATCTGGAATGCACTTCTGTCTGGTAGAGTCCCTAGCTTTCTTTTGAAATGCAGCTAAAGTTCTACCTTCTGTGTGAAGCCTTTCCTAATCCTCCCAGTTATTAGCACTTTTCCTCTTACAATGATCTTGTTAATATTTTGAAGTTACTTTTGAGCGTGTTATATCCTTGTCAAAAGAAGATAACCTCTATGAGGGTAAGGACTGTCTCCTTTTCTATATTTTCTATACTCCTTAGCACCTACTACCGTGGAGGTGCATGTAATAAAGGCTTACTAAATGGAATCAAATTGAGCTGCCCCAGGATTCAGATGCCACCCTAATACCTTGTCATATCTCTCCCAGCCTTTAGAGGATGAAGTGCCCCACATCAGTAAATATCTGTCCCACTTGATCAAGTGATTGCTCTAGAGATGATTATAAGTTGTTCCTATGGCAATAAAGCTTTGCCTCTTAAAGGACTTTCTATCTGATATCAAAATGTAAATCTATTTGCCTTGAACTACCATCAGGGTGGTGATTATCACTATCTTATCTCCAGTATTCTGGATGGTGTGGACCAATTATTTCTATTGTTCACCATTCTGGTTATGTTGCAGTTCATTCCGTGGGGTTTTCCCCACTAACAGCTATATCATAGTTAGATAAAACTGGATGTGCTGGGTTTTTTTTCCCCCCACAGTTTCTCTTGGGAATCACATGTCAAATCCTGTATGACTCTATGGACAACAGTGTATGTACTTAGGTATCAATGTCTGAATTAAGCATTTTCCCCCCAACAAATTATGGGGATAGAGTTTTTCTATCAATAGCTCCAGTGTGCTTTTAAAACCTTCACTATTCTCCAGGGCCCTACTCCAAGAAGACCAAGAAAAAAATCAGGTGCTCAGGGCCACAATGGTGGCATTCACATTTCTTCCTGCTTAAAGAAACCTTAAAAAAATTCTTCTCAAAATATGGTGCCTATAATTTCCTTTCCCTGACCAGGGCCATAACTACATAGGGGTATTTGATACAGTATACTTTGAGAGTAGCTGCAAATGCCTTCTAGTCCTACATATATTTTCATTTGTGGGTACCTTATAATTATCTCTCCTCTTCCCCCACAGCCCCAGTACAAAATCTCTGAATACTGAGGGCTCTACCATTGGTACTTTAGTTTGACCAGCAAATACTATTGGGGTTTTGGAGACTTGATATTTTGACCAGTGATGTAGTGGAGAAAGCCCTGGATTTGGAGTCAGAAAACTTGGGTTTAAATTTTAGAACTGATAAGTATTATCTAGGTGACCTTGGTCAAGTAATTTTACTTTTCTAAACCTCAGATTCCTTATCTGTCAAATGAGGGAACCAGGCTAGATAATTACTCACATTTTTATAGCAACTTGAGGTTTTTCCTAGGTTAGTATATTAATGTTGAGGCAGCTAGGTGGCCCAGCTGATGGAGTGCTGGACTTGGGAGTCAGGAAGATCTGAGTTCAAATCCTGCCTCTGATACTTCCTAGTTATGTGATCCTGAGTGAATCACTTAATCTCTGTCTGCTTCGGTTTCCTTTTCTATAAAACGGGCATAATAATGGGACATACACCCCAGGGATCTTGTGAGGATCAAATAAGTAAAATTTAAGTGCTTTGCAAACTTTAATGAGCCATATAAATGCTAGCTATTATTATTATTGACTAAATTATTTGTCAAGTCCTTTGCAAACTTTAAAGGGCTATATAAATGCTAGTTATTATTATTATTATTATGGACTAGATTATTTTCGAAGTCCCTTCCAATTCTAAAATCCAATGATACTTTGAACTCTAACAGGTTATCTTCCTTTAGACTTTAGAGAACTAGTCACTTCAATTTTCTGGGCCTCAGCTTCCTTATTTGTTAAGTGAAAGATTTGGCCTGGATAATTATTTAAGCTTCTAGAGCAACTTAATATTTACTATGTTATTACACAATGATGACCCCTTAAGTCCCTTCCAATTCTAAAAATTTACCATCCCCTGAATCGTAACAGGTGTCTCCTAACTTCCTTTGGCTGACTGTGGGGGAAGGGGGGAAGCCCGACCTACGAAGTGACCCTGGACAAGTCCTTTAACCTCTCTGAGCCTCATTTTCTTCATCTGTAAAATGAGGGGTTTGGACTAGAAGACCTTTGAGGTCCCTTTCAGCTCTAAATCCTGAGCCAGGTCTGAGTGGCAACGGGAAGGTAAGGAAGGGACTACAGCCCTCTTTCCACTCCCCAAAAGGTACACAGTTCTTCTTTCCCAAGGTCAGCCACTCTTCTCTTTCCACCTCCTGGAGCTCCAGGAGAAGTAGGTTGGAGGGACTGGTTGGAGTATGAGATGGTGAAGATGGAATGAGTTGGAGAGAAGAGGCCAGGAGACGAAGCTAACTCTGAACTCTTACTCTTAGGGGATTAAAAAAAAAAAAAAGACAAAACACCTTCACCCCACCCCCACTTTTAGAAAGGAGCCCTTAATACATTATTCATTGGCCAGAAACAGGCTGCAGCCAAAGTGCTGATGTCAGGAAGGAGTCAGTTCAGCAAGCAAGATCAGCAGCAGCAGCCCCAGCGGCGGCGGCAGCAGCAGCAGTAGCAGCAGCAGCAGCAGCGGCAGCCGCCTCCCTCCCAGCTGCAGCCAGAGTCCTGGCCATCGCGGGAGCATAGCTGGGAGAAAGAGCCAGCGTCGGGGTGGGGGGTCGGGGGCCAGCATGCTGCTCGGCTGCGGCTCCGGCTCCTATACCCGCCGCTTCCATCCCTCGAGCGGCAGCCGCGGCGGCGGCAGCAGCAGAGACAGCGTGAGCGGGCGCGGCTGCGTCGTCGGAAGCCTCCTGAGCGGCGGCAGCGGCCGGGCGCAGGGGCCAGCGACCGGGCTATGGTTGTGCTGAGGGGCTGCGGCGGCGGCAGCGGCGGGTCGCTGCTGCTGCTGCTGCTGGCCGCCGCGTGTCTGCTGCAGCGCGCCCAGGTGAGGCGGCTGGTCCGCTGCCCGGCCACTTGCAGCTGCACCAAGGAGTCCATCATCTGCGTCGGCTCCTCCTGGGTGCCCAGGATCGTCCCGGGTGACATCAGCTCCTTGTGAGTGGAACCTCCTCTCAACTCCCTCCTCCCTCTAGTAACCCCCACTCCCTCCTCGGGGACTTGCCTCCTGCGCGAGGGTGCCTCGGGACCAGACCCCCCCAACCTCTCCCCTCTTTCTTCCCCCTTTTCTCCTCTCCCCACCCCCATTGCCTTTGTGTCTTCCTTTACTTTCTGTGGGGGCAGTGGGGCGTGGATCGGGGGGGTACTCTGGAGATTGACTGGGGAGAGGGCGTGTGGAAGGAGGGAGGAAGAACAAGGACGCTGGGGTGGGAAGGCCCCCAGGCGGGAGCTTGCGGCACCATAGAACCTGGCTACCGGACACTAAGTTGCTAAGTAGTGTGCCTACATTTTTGTGTGTGTGTGTGTGTGTGTGTGTGTGTGTGTGTGTGTGTGTGCGCCTGTGTGTGTGTGTGTGTGGTGAGTAGCTCTTAGTGCTTGTGTGGAAGCCTAAAGGTGAGCGTCTTCATGTGTTGTTCCCGGGCACCCAAATTTGGGGCTGCTTTTTATCAGCCTTCAGATGCCAAAGATTGGTTAGAAAGCCCTCAGAGTGCCCTGAAGTAGATTCTTTCACGTCAGGGTGGGGGACACCTGAAGGGGCAGGGGAACGTGGAGTAGTAAGCGGCCAAGTGTCCAGGTGGAGTCCTGACTGGCAGCCTTTACCAAGGTTTGTCCATTTCTTCAACCCAGCTCTTGAAGTTGACTGCCTTTCCTGGGCTAGAGAAACTTGGTGGCACCTCCTTGGCAGGGTTTCATTCAGTCACCTGAATTCAATGATATCAAGTCCCATAGATAGCAGTGTCCAATGGTTATGAACAAGTATCCCCTGAGGACTGAGGATAATTTCCTGCTCAAATAGCTTACTTGACAAAGGGGCAGTGAACCTTGGATAGGGCCTGAATCAGAGAGATAGAGGATTCTAGGGATGCCAGGCTATCAATGTACAGTATCCCTTCTCTTGCTCTTGGAAGAGGTCCCCAGCATGAAACTGAGAGCTAAAGTTTTTCAAGTTTGGATAATATGTCAGCTAAGGTGTTTCTTCCTCTGACCAGTGTTGGGCCAGTGAGAGCAGAGGCCTGTTATGATGGGCAACCTTGACCAACTTCTTTAAAGTTGACTGTGACCCCTGACTGTGTCACTTTGAGTTCTTCATATTGTCAGGTTCTTAACAGCTTCTCCAAACTGCAGGTGAGGAAGGATGCAGTAGGGTAGATAAGGGACTAAGTCAAGGTCACCAGGTGATCAAAATGGTCTCTGGACTTAACATGGGCTATTTTACCTAACAGATAGTTTTGCCACCCACAACACACTCCAGTTCAGGAGACCTTAGCCCTTTCCAAGCTTTCATGGCTTAGTTTGACCATGTTTCTTCATTTAATTAACTGTACTTTCAGCATTCTTCAAATCTTTTCCCAAGAAGTGGTACTTGCTCTGACTCTGGAGTTTTGCTATTTACTAACATTAAGATTGAATGGAGAGGCAGCATGTTGTAATGGTTAGAGAACTGGCCTAGGAGCCAGGAAGACCTGGATTCAAGTCTTACCTCTGACACATACTGGCTGTGTGACCTTGGGCAAGTCATTTAACCTCTCACTGTCCTAGGAGACTTTCTAAGACTATAGGTTGCAGAGATTCTGACATGCCTTGGTAATAAGAGTGTCCTTACTCAGGAGATCCTCGTACTCAGTGTTAACATGGGTTCAGTCTCTATCTCTTGTCTGATATATGAAAGGGAGCCTGCCAAAATAGCATGCCTGACTGGGAGTCTGGAAAACCTGAGTTCAGTTCCTGACTCATAATGGTGTGCTGTCCACTTCACTTCTCTGCCTCTCTTAGGAATTGCCAGTGGGCTTAAATAGAGGGAGTTCACGTGCCAGTATTTTCCTGCGCTATAGGAATCACAGGTCCCCCACTGAAAGTTTGTAGCTATACAAAGAAATTCAAGGGCAAAATTGAAGTAGTTATCTAGATCATTTCAGCTCAGCTCTAGAAGATTGGGAAGTTGACTTGAATTATCCAAAATTTGGTTTTCTAAGCTTTTTGCCAGCTCCTGGCTTGCTTTTTCATTTTCCTGCTGCATCTGAGGAGACATAGGCCACTCCTGTGTAGCCCACCCTCTCTAAGGGAATGGCAAGAATGTCCTCACTGTAAAGCAGAAGGAAATGAGGCAAAGGAGGTAGCAGCTGGGGGTGGTGGTGGTGAGGGTGGAACAAACTGCCTATACTGCCCAGCATGTTTTTGGGGAATGCTAGAATTTGTTCTTGGGGTTTGTTGGCCTTTTTCTTCCTCCTTTTAGGAGCCTGGTAAATGGAACATTTTCTGAAATCAAGGACCGAATGTTTTCTCATCTGCCTTCCTTGCAATTGCTGTAAGTATGGAAATGTCCCAAATACATTTATTGTTCCCTCTTCAATCCCTGCCCCTGTGTTAGCCTCTCCCTCTCTCCTCTGGTGTTCAGCACCCATCAATCAAACAGGCTTAACTTGACAAGTAGAGTCTGTGTACAGCATGTCCACTATGATCTCTTTCATTCCTTCCTTCCTTGGGGCCACATAAATTTGTTTAGAACTGTTTTTTTTTGGCCCTCCCTCCTTCGTTATAGATCTTTACTCCAATGTTTTCTTCCTTAATCTGCTCCCAAATGCCTCTAGCAGTAATGTGCACACTGAGATGGGAAAGTCAAAAGGAGGCTTTAGTGTGATCTACAAATATGGTTTCCTTACTCCCTAACTTTATTTTTTAGATCTCTGTGTTGGAGTGGGCTGAAAGGCCATCTCTGAGAGCCTTCTGTAAATGGTGCAGTCATATCCAGTCTGGGGGATCAGCCTTATTTGAGTATTCCTGGAGGCCCAGCTGTAAATCTCCTGCCTTGCTCTCTCATGCCTCTCACCACTCCCCCTTCCCAACCTCTTGGGCTCCCTTACATTGTTATATACCTATAACTAGTGCAAAACTGTTTATGGGCCTGGCCAATGCTTATCTAGGGACTACACATTATACCCAATACTGTGCTCTGGTACTCACTTTATGTTATTTGGTGATGAAAACTTTTTAAAACAACTAGGATAACTTTCAAGAGTACATTAAATAAAAACATAATCACTGGTACATACGTGTTTGTTGTGGTCAGTAGCTTAAAAATTGAGAAGGAAAGAAAACTAAAATAATGAAGCTGGCATCTTACTATTGATAATTCTAATGAAAATGTCTTATCTTTATAGATTACTTAACATTTCACAAAGTGTTTTACGTACTCTACTTGATATTAAAATGGCCAGATCTTAAGAAATAGAACAAAGGCATTAATCATGAATGAGTATAAGTTAGTGATTTAATGTTACATTCTAATTTTTATTCATTTTCTTTGGTCATAAATACTTAATTTGATAGTCACTAGTCATCATACCTTATCTAGGTATATATACACATTTGTAAAATGCTTCATAGTTTGCAAAGCAGCTGTGTGGAGAACACTGAGTTTGGAGTCAGAAGATACATATTTAAATCCTGAACTCTGCCACTGACTAAATGACCTGGATCTCACCACTTAACATATTAGTCCAGTTTCCCTATGAAAAATATGAATAATAACATCTCCAATATGAACATGTGAGGCTCGGATGACATCTTATATACAAAGCTGTATGAACGTCAGCTATTAATTAACTTGAGAGGAGCTTAAGTAAAGAGTGTACAGCAGAAAGTGCATTGGCTTTGAAGTCTGAGGTCCGGAAGAAGGCCTGAGTTCAAATCCCATTTTTTACCTGTGTGACCTGAGGAAAATCACTTACCCCCTCTGGACCTCAGTTTTCTCATCTTTAAAATGAAGGAGATGTGACTAGATGGACTTAGCTTATCACATAGTAAGCACTTAATAAGTTAGCAAACCAAATAAACAAGCATTTATTGAGCCTTTACCTGGTGCCAGGCAGGCACTATGCTAAGTGCAGGGAACACAAAAATGAACAGAAGGAAAGACAGTCACTGCCTTCGAGGAGCTTACTTTCTAATAAAGGAAACCAACACATAAAAAGAAGCTGAAAAGGGTGGGGGAGGAACAGAGATGAAGGTACCTGCTGCAAGGGGTGGGGGGTGGGGTAGATTGGAGAGAAAGTCCAGGGAGTCCCGAGTGCCTAGGAGAGGAATGAAGACCTGGTTGGCCTAGGCATTCTCTTTAAAATGTAGATTCTGGAAGGAAGAAGGCAACCAGAGGGAAAAGTCTTAGGGGTGGAGGGTACTTCCAATGAGAAATCGTTGCAGGCTGGAGTGAGCTTGATTTATGGCATGGTAGAGAAAGTCCTTAGGAGGTAAGTCAGCAGTTCGTCCTGGAGAGGAATGAAGGTGTGTTTGGACTGATCATCCTCCTTAAAATGGGGGTTCTGAGAGAATCTGGCTGATTAGAGGGAGAAGTTGCTGGAGTGGATGGTATTTCCAATGTGAGAAAAATTGTCCTGAGTCCCATAAGGACCAATGTATATGAAACACTTTATAAATATTAGGTATTATTATTTATAGCCATATCTCATTTGATCCCTGTGTGGTAGATAGGGTAAACATTATCTACTATCCCTATTTTGCAGATGAGGAAAACTGAGGCCCAGAGAGATTAAATGGGTTTTTTTTTAAAGTCACATAGCTAGTAACTTGAGTCACAGAGACTGTTAAGTGCTTTACCCAAGATTATACAGTTAATATGAGAGTGAGGGACCCTAAATGTGTGATCTTTATGCCATACCATACTCTCTTTAGTTACTGTTGTGGGTCTTGAAGGAAACTAAAACTCTGTGAAGTATTAAAGGAAACTAGGAAAAGAATGAATACATACTAATCTTCATGTTGAAATGTAAAAGAAAAGCATGTATCTTCCTGACAAGAATATAGACTTTATGTGTAGAAATAATTAAATATGCCATTTAAAAAATTAATTACAACTTCAATTTTGTGTAGAATTTTTTAAAAAGCTTTTCTTTAATAAGGATAATTACCATATTTTTCAGGCTGTATCCAAAGTAGTTACACTGAGAACTAAATTCACCCTATTTGAGGTTTTCTTGGCAAAGATACTGGAGTGGTTTTCCATTTCCTTCTCCTGTTCATTTTACAGATGAAGAAATCGAGGCAAAAAGTGTTAATTGACTTGCCCAGGGTCACACAACTATTAAGTGTCTGAGGCTAGATTTGAACTCAGGGAGATGAATTTTCCTGACTCCAGCCCCAGAACTGCTCCACCTACATTTTTAAGTACTTTGTTGTTTTGTACCCATATACATCCATTAGCTTAGAGTAGATGATCTTTAAAATCCCAGCTCTAAAGTCCCTGATTCTGTGGATCTCCTTTGAGCTATACAATGACCTAGTGAAGTGGGCAGGAGTTATATTGTCCTGAATTTGTATATGAGAAAACTGAGACCTAAAGAGATATGTTCCCTGAGGTCACATAGTAAGTAGTGTAATGGGAATTAGTGTCCATGTCATATCACTCCTCATCCCGAACTCTTTCCCCTACAATTTAGTTGAATATGGTTCTACGGTGATTTTAAATTATGTTGAGGAATATCAAATAATATTCAATAAACAACTACAGGGTGAAAACATTCTATGATTAGCATTACTAGAAGAAAGGATGATAAAAGAATCCGAGGAATTATTTTCAGTCATTGATCTTTGAGTGTTGGGATTATCCTGCCATTCCCAGGAAAATAGTATCTCTTGCTACCAATTATGAGGCGACACAAGAATTCAACTGATTGGTCCAGTAGTAAGCAGAAAGGACATAACTGTGTTCGGTTTTCCTTTCAGCTTGCTGAATTCTAACTCATTCACAGTCATACGAGATGATGCCTTTGCTGGCCTCTTTCACCTGGAGTACCTGTAAGTTCCAATTTGGTGTTTGGAAAATTCAAGATACCCTGGAGGATTGCTGGGGTCTGTCCTTTAGGGGAATTGTCTTCTGGGAAGCATAGGAATGGGGAAGATGAAAAAAAACTTTACCTTCTCATTTCAATGCTTTATTAGCTCCTACTTGTCTTTTCAAATAACAGTACTGTAGTTACTATTTTAATTCAATTTCTTTCAACAAATATTTATTAAGGACCTACATGATGTGTAATGAAAAATGACATAGTTCTTGCCCTCAAGGAGCTTATGGTCTAAAGACAGGTGTGTAGTTAAGATAAATCTCTCTAATACAAAGTAGAATGTGATAGGGGGGAAAGGAGAGATTCTGTTAAAATATTCTTTTATAAATATGCTTTTTTTTGGCATGTCTTGGACCCCTTTTTGACAGTCTGGTGAAGCCTAAATGACCCCTACTGAGAATGATGTTTTTAAATAATTGAAGGAAACTCTAAATTTCAGTGAAATTTTTAGTGAAAATAAAGGTATAATTTTTTCCCATCCAAGTTTACAAACCCCATGAAATCTACCCACAGTCCTCTTGAGGGAGGGGATGGTATATGGGGGCAAGGTGTCTCAATGGAGCCCAGGTTAAAATTCCTTACTCCAAGGTAAATACTCTAAGAATAGGTGAGGAGGCAGAACCCTTTTAGGTGGCTGGGTGGTTGGGTGGGGTGGGGATCAGGGAAAGTTTCATGAAGGACATGGCACCTTTGCTGGTCCTTGAAGGAGTAGTGAATGGAGAGAGCAAAGAAGGAAGGCAAGAAGTGAGCAGAGAAGGGGGGATCCTCACCCAGTTCTGGCATTTAGTTTGTAGGTAAGTGTACAGTAAGCCCAAATGAAACTTCCTACGTTGGCTATTTTTAGCTCTCTGTAACTACTCAATGATTTGCTGATATCAGCTAGACATAGAGACAAAAGATTTGCAAGGCTGCCTCTTCCAGAGTCCATTAGTCCCATCTTTGTGGAAAACTTCACAGTCCTCGTTTTGATTGTCCCTTGTCATCCTGTTTACTGTTTCTCCTGTGCTCTTCTTTTCTGGATCTGCTCATTTTCTTCTCCCTTTTCAGATTTATGTCCTCCTGTCTGTTTTCTACTTTTCCACCAAATTCCTGTTTCTTCTTTCCACTTTCATGTCTTTTCCCCTCAAGTCCTTTCATCCTGCAATCTTTTAAACATTTTAATAATCCTGTTATGGGGTTGGTTTCCCTACTTAGCATTCAAAGGGATTTTGAAAGCCTTGCCTATTTTCTTATCTGAAATCAACAGGTATGTTTTAAAATTCGAAACACATGCTGGGTACAAGATAAATCCCTCTGTATTAATTTTCAGCGTGGAAGGAAGGAATGACTCTGCAAGAAATAATTTCCCTCATTCTCTTTTCAGCATCAGAGATGTGGCGTAACATGAATTCAAAGCTTCATCAGAGTCTGTGAAAGCCAGTGAGTGTGAGTGTGAATGTGAGTGTGGATGTGTGTGTATGCAAAACTACTAATTTCACATCATACAAGGGGCACTTTGGGGACAGAATTAGAATGAGAAACTAGAACCTTGCAGAATTTCAAATAGCCCATACTGCAGATCATTATAAAATTTTCCAGTATTATTATTATTACTAATGAAAGTTGAAATTTTTGACATCACAAATCTATGATTTTATAAGCCAAGCTCTCTATGTAAATAGTGATGGGGTAGCATGGTAACATTCTTTTGCGTTCAGTACTTGTTCCAAGACAGTAGTCTTGTTCAAGACAAAGTAATATGGCAAGTAAGTGCCATGGACTAAAATTTCAGTGTTAGAATACAAATCCCATGTGTTCCTCAACAGCTCCATGGACAACATAATAATGTTAATGGAGACCCTGTGTGGCATAGTAGAGAGGTCTCACTCAGAGTTCACAAAGCCTTGGGTTCAAAATCTGCCTTTGGTACAGTCAAAGATGAGTCACTGACCTGTCTTGGTTAAGGGGATTCTCAAACTTATGAAATCACAGATCCATATCCCTTCCCATCCAAAAAATAATGATAATGGTAACCAATAATAATGGTAATTTATATTTATATAGCACTTTTCCCTGAACAGTCCTGTAAGGTAGAGAAGGAAGCTATAATAACCTTCATAAGCCTCATAGCACCTTTGTTCCATAGAGTCAAAAGTTTAATACAGTCAAACATTTCTAGGCTAAATCACTTTTCGCATAGGTGTATGAAGATGTTTGGCTCCTCCTTTATTTTTTTTCCTGTTGGATTTTTGGCCTTGAGAGCAACTTCATGTGGTCTACTTGCTCAGAAGTACATGAGCTAGTGATTGGGTCAGGCAATGAAAAGGTAGCCCCCTGGACCACAGAGTTGAAAGGGACCTCAGAGCATATCTGTTGCAGCTGAGGAATCCTTTCTGTGCTCTGCTTGACAAATGGTCATCCAGGTTTGGCAGGAAAAGCTCCAGTGAAGCCGGATTCCTCATGCGGCAGCCTATTTCACTTTTGGACAGCTCTAATTGGGAGAGTTTTCCCTTCAGAGTGGATTAAAATATGCCATTGATCTTAATTCCAGTAGAACAAGCCTATCCCCTTTCGCACTGACCAGCCTCTCAGATACTTGATGGCAGCTCTCAATTTCCCCTACAACTCTCCCCAGTCTTCTCTTCCCCTTCAGAACAGGCATGGGTGGTGTGCAGCCCTTTGTCCATTCTGGTGACCCTCTCCTGGAGGCACTCCTGCTGTTCACCTTATTTAAAGGTGGTAGTTAGAACCACACCCAATACTCTAGATGCTTTGTCTTTAACCAAGTTTCTAAGCAATTGCAACATTAGGCCGAGTAGTCATGTTATATTGTTGCTAACATTGGGTGAATTCAGAGCCACAGATAGAACCAAATTAAAATTCTGTATGTGTGTTATTTATGTTCAGAAGATGAATCAGATTTTGTGATTTGAGTTGTACACAGCTGTTACTAGTACTCCTCAGTGAAAACCTACTCACTCTGTGGATTTTTCTTACTATACAGTTGGTAAATTGGGAAATGAGCTTTTTATAACAAGAGTAGGTGACAGCTATATGCTTCATAGTTTATGAAGCACTTTATGAATGTTATTTTACTTGATGCTACTGGCACCTATGAGCTAGGTAGGATAGATATTATTATGTTCTTTAAGAGGAGAAGAAACTGAAACACAAAGAGAAGTAAGTGACTTGCCTACGATTACATTGCCCTTTACTAGCCAGATCTTTTGGCTCAAATTCAGCATTTTTTTTTTCTTCCACTACATCATCCTGCTTCTCAACCGTGGAACTTGAGAAAATCTGCCTTAAGGGATTTCTGAGTTACTGGTATGACTACAGGAGACTTGGATACAGAATCTGTTCCCTGAATCATATTCCATATAGGAAAAGTTCTTCATATTGAGTTTTTGTATAACTAGGAAGAGAAGAATCAAGTTCTTATGTTACTGTGCTAGCAATAGCAGGGAGCTGCTTCCTTTTTTAGGCACTGGCATAGCTGCTGTTCTGCTTAGCAAGCTAGACAAGTGACATGGACCAAAGGATACCTCCTAGAAGATCATAAGCTCCTTGTAGGCAGGAATAGTGTCTTACATACCAAAGGGGATTTTCTATTAGATCATAATCTCTTTGTGGACAGTGAGTTCCATACCATGTGGGGCTTCCTACTAGATCATCAGTTAGGTTTGATAGAACAGGACATGATGAGAAAGGTAGACAATGGTAAGTAGTCTAATTTAACCAGAATAAAAACTATGTGAAGGAAAGTAGTATGAGAGAAGGTGGGAGGACTTAGTTAAAGCTTGAGGCAAAGGGCATTGAATGCTAGCCAGGAGTTTAGCCTTTATTTAGCAATCCACTGAAGGTTTTAAGTAGAGAGATGATGGAGCCATAATGCATTAAGAAGATGACTCAGGTGCTGCAGTGTGGATGGATTGGATAAGGAAGAGACTGAAGCTGGAGAACCAATTAGGAGGCAATTATAATAGTCTAGGTATGAAAAGATGAGGGTCTGGACTAGGGCTATGAGAACCTGTACGAAATCACTGAATTGTCTTAACAGTCAGAGATACTGAAACATAAGTGGATTTTGCAGGGGGATGGGGAGTCGGGGTGGGAGGCAAGGCAGGGTGGGTACCTAGAAATGTTCTAATATTGTTGTAATGATTCTCACATATATAAGGAGCATTGTTATTTTCAAAGCATTCTTATTTACATTGTCTCCAGCTCTCAGTGCTTTAATGCCACTATTAAAAGGAGTGTGTACACACACACACACACACACACACACACAAAAGCACGTTAACTTATACTCATACTCTCCTACCCTGCATTGAGAATTCCTGGTACATAAATTGGCATTCTTCAAAGATGTTTTTTATTCAGTTGTGCTTTCTGAGATTGGTCAGGGACCACTGTGAAAAATAATTTTTAAAATATTAAGATGACAGAATGCAGTTAATGATGCTTGCTTTTCTTTGTAGATTCATTGAAGGAAACAAAATTGAAACCATTTCAAGAAATGCATTCCGTGGGCTCCGTGACCTGACTCACCTGTAAGTCCTTTAAACTGTGTTGGGGACCATTGATGTGCTGAGTGAGATGCATCTTGCTGGGCATTTCTTTGTTCACTCGGTCAGTTATTACTGTGTGGCAGTACTCCCTCAAAGAATCCAGTTTTCACTCAGTCAGAGGCATTCCTCAATCGTTTATGATATGCCTGCTAATTTGTATCATTCTCCCATTTCCATCATTCTCTGATTTCCAGTTTTTACCACTGTTGTGCCTGTTCTTTTTTTTTTTTTTCATTGTGATTGATCACTTTTGTGCACCAACATTCCTGCAAAGTCAAAGTGAACTTTGGGGAGGGAGGTAGCCTGTTTCTAAGTGAAGGGGGTAAGAACTGGAAGGTTTCCCTTTTCAGTGGAAATAGAACCCTGAACCAGTTCAATGAATAATTTTTAATTTAGCCAAATTAGTAGAATTTTACAACTGAAAGGGACCTTAAAGATGATCCAGCCCATTCCCTTCTTTAGACTGATGAGAAAACAAAGGCCTTTTAAAGTTATGACTTCCCCAACGTCGAAGAATGAGTAGGTCTTTTATAACTTTCCACCCTGAACTCTTTTCTCTCATACCATGGTATGTTTTTTTTGGTACATTTTAATGATTTCTTTAATTTGAGTGCAAAAAAAATTTTTTTTAATGTGGAATTAATCTGTGACTTGAGTTATAGCTTCTTTACTGACCTTTTTCCTTTAAAAAAAATTGCAGATTGATTTGACTTGATACTTCAGAATGAGGCAAAAACTCCTCTTTTTTGTCAGAAATTCATGAAAACTCAAAATGATCATGCATTTCTGAAAGTGCAAAAATATCCCATTGTCTTTGGTTAGTTAGAAACCAGCACATGTCCGTATAAAAAAAACATCCTGTGACATTTAAAGAGAGTAACATTGCCCAGCTATAACCAACTGTATGTAATGAAAAGAAAATTTAAAGGGGGGAGATGTTGTGGAGAAAATACTCTAAAAATATATAGCTATCTTAACAGAAATTGGTTCCAGCTAAGTCCATTAGCATGAATAGATTGTACTCATTGTTGAGTACTTTTAGATAAGCAACTTTAGAGGACTGCCTAGGGTAAAAGAATACTGAGGGAATGAGAGGATGAAAGAGTGAACTGAAAGTTAGGAAAAACATCTTTATGAACACAGTAATTGAACCTAGAGAGTGCTCTGGAGGTCTCAGTTGGGTTGATATAATTTTTCCCAGATGACCTTCCTTCTTCCAGGGGTCTGAATCTTTTCAGAGTCAACTCCTTGTCAAGTTCCTATGTCCTATTGCCCTCCTTATCCCATAAAGAAGTTTGGATCTCCTCCATGGAATTGCAATCTGAAATAAGCATGCTCAGCCAAAGCAATTTTGTTGGCAAGAACAGGTTTTGGTAAGCAAACAATTCTGAATAGCTGGCAAACAGCAGTTATGAACAGACAGTCCTGGTGCCCTTAAATGAGGAAGAAGGTAGTCTTCAAGTGGAAGCTAGATAACTATCGATCATGGAATGGTTGAGCTAGAAGGGGTCTTAGAGATTACCTAATCCCATTTTCTCATTTTACAAATGAAAAAAAGTTTTGTTTTTGTTTTTGCTTTTGCTCTGGCTATAGATAGATCATTAATGAAGGTTATGGCTATTTGACTGGCTGATTTGGGCCAGACTGAAAAGCCTGGTTGACCCAGTTACCTATTTACTCGCTAATGTGGCCTTGGAGTACAAGGTAAACAGAAGTGAATTGAGCCTGTAGAGAAAGTGTGCATGCATACGTGCATTTGTGTGTGTGTGTGTGTGTGTGTGTGTGTGTGTATGAAACAGAGAGAAGTTTGTTGTCTCTTTGGGGTCCATGCTCCTATAATTTTCCAGTGTTTAACTGGGGGTTGGTTAGGTACTTCACAAAGGATGCACTAAATTCTTTCTTTACTAAGTGTAGTTTCCAGCATAGAAGACATAACTTCCAAGGGCACCTAACTTCCCCAGGGAATAGTTTGCAACTGGGGATACCTAGTTCAACAGTCAGTGAACCAACATGTATTTTTTGAGCACATGCTCATCACTTTGCTAGACACACTGAAAGATAAAGAAATGCAATTAGAAACGGTCCTCATCCTTAAAGAATTTACTTCCTAGTTAAGGGGCAAGGCTAATACACATGAAAGAGTAAAAAAAAAATGCAGGGGTCTGTAATTGACAACTGAATGGTGTAGTTTAGACTGTATGTGCGATAGAGGAATTCAGGGAAGAGAGAGCTCATGAAGGTTAAATTAGAGCTTTATGGAAGAAGTGGGACTTCAGCTGGGTCTGAAGGACAGGTAGAGTTAGATGAGCTGAGGAGTGAAGATGAAATAAGACAGTCCCTGTCCCCAAGTAACTTATATTCTAATGAGGAAGAAGGAACAGGAAGAGAAGAGAAGATAGGACCACCAATAACTTGTTTTTAGGTTCTCGGTCCAGGTACCCTTCCTATTCTCTTTTCTTTGTGTTTATCATAGTCAAGAACAACTCATTCAAAGAATTCCAATTCCAGCTGCCATTTATGCACAGATTTTCATCAGTGCAGATGGAACATCTCTTTGCTCTGGTGTGGGGGGAACAGAAAATGCGGAAATTTGTAGACAAACCTTGGGATAGAAAAGGTTGGGAAGCTCCAGTCACTAACGTATCCCTGGCCCTGGGCAAGGCCATGTACAGATGATCATACTTGTCACCAGACACATAGGACAATAGAAAATGTAAGGGAAGATGTAAGATACTGTGGCAGGTGTGAGGGGCACTAAAAGTGATGAGCTGTAGCCACACCTTTGATGCTCTATGTATGTATATACAACATGTGGTATATAAAGTGATGGGACTAAAAATAAAACAAATGGAGTTATGATTTTAGATGGGTATCATCATTCTAAGTAGTACCCTGGGAGATTATACATTTATTCCAGTAACGTTGTCATTGCAGAAAGAATTTTTCTGGTTCCTCTTTTGGAGTTGCCTTCAAAGGTCATTTATGAAGCATGCAAACAACAACAACAGCAACAACAACAACAACAAATCCAACATCTCATGACTTTATTTCTAATGTTACAATTACATTTTGTCTAACCCCCAATGGCTATATAGAAGTTTGATTCCCCCCCTCCCCATTCATAAAATTTGGTTCCAAATGACTTCTGCCTGTTTCCAAGAATCAAATCCATCCTCAAAGGTTAAATATTGTGATACCCTCCCCTGCTTTCCCCTGCACTGTCCCATGATGATACTCAGTAGAATATACTATAGGCTTGAGGGTATTTCTTAATGAAGAATTCAAAAAATGTTTTGTTCAATGGCAGTGTGGTTAAAATTAGCAGTAACAATAATAGCATTAACTCACATTTCTGTAGTGCTATGAGGTTTATAAAGTGTTTTCCTCACAACAGTCAACATGTAGGAAGTGTGAGTATTGTTCCCATTTTGTGGATGAGGATACAGATGCCCATACTTGTGAAGGGATCTTAAATGTTAAAACTGGCACTTAGACCCAGGTCTCCTGACTCTAAACCATAAGCTTGTTCTACTATATCATGAATAATAATAATAGCTACCATTTATATAGTCCTTTGAGATTGCAAAGCACTACCTGCATATTATCTCATTTGAGACAACAATTCTTCGAGGTAGGTGCTACTGTTGTCCCCATTTTATAGGTGAGGAAGCTGAGGCTGAGAGATTAGGTGACTTACCCAAGGTTACACAACCAGTAAATATCTAAGGTTATATTTGAACTTGGGCCTTCCTGCCTCCAAGTCTAGCTCTTTGTCCAATATACTCGCTGGCTTCTTCAAAATAAGAACAAGCATAAAGCCACCCTAAGTGACTATTTTGAAAGTACTAAGACTCATTTGGATAAGTAACTTTGGGTCCATATGGTTTTTTTTAAAGTCACATTTCTTTTTTTTGGATAAATTTTGTATTCTAAGTTTAGTGACTATCAAGGAATAAAATGTTCAAATCAGTAAGGAGAGTTTAAAATGAGATGAAAGCCATAACCTGCAAAAATTATAATTTTTAAGTGTATATTAAATTTGGCAAAGTAAGAATCAAATGAACCCTCATTTTCTTCCACATCCCTTCCTGATATCTTTTCCTTCTGAGTCCCATTTTCTTATAGTCATATGTTTTCCATGTCTATCTATATATATATATGCACACACACACTCACAATCACAGACACACAGATATCACAACCTCATTGGAGCCTAGTTTTTAAAGGAACTTTTACTCTAGGCAGGGGTTGTACTAAGTAACATCTAAAGTCCCTTTGAACTCTTTAATGCTGAGGAGATTCCCAGATGTCTTAAAGGACTCCATTCCTCTGACCAACAGTGCTCATTGTCTGGACTTTGTTCGGTACCAGTCAGTTCCATATTTCACCTTAGCGAACCTCAACAGCATCCACACACTTTGACCTGAAACTTGCAGGGTACACAGAGAAATACAAATCATGTTTTAAAGTATGAAAGGACATTGCTGCTCTGTGACTCTCATTTAGGGCATTTGCTTTCTCTTAAATTTAATAATCCTGAAGGACACAAAATCTTAAACAGTTATTTCACTTCAGAAATAAAATAAACAACATGATTTTCAGTTGAAATGGAGAGCCAGTGACTTACTGGACAAATTGTTTTTTCCTTTCTAACCTTTAATGTGAATTAAGTGATTTCTGAGGTCTCCTCTAGCTTTGGATTTGATCGAGGTAGGCAATTGGATTGGCAATAGGGCTGGTTATATTACCAGATACATGGGGTAGTTGCTGTTTTGGTTTGACCTTAGCTTCTCAGAATGTTCTTATTATCGTAGGGCTATGAAACCTCAACTGGAACCCAACTTAGCCCTACCTTCAGTCAGCTGAATTTCCCAAGCCCTGAGTACTTTTACTTTCAAGAGAGAGAGAGCAATTACCACCCTGGGAAAGTTGTCCATATAAGGGATTTAGGTGTTTAAAAAGCATCTTTTGGGTGTTTGGGCCAGACTGAAAAGTCTAGTTGACCCAGTTACCTATTGACTCACTTATATGGCCTGTAAGTACAAGTTCTGGTGTTTAGACAGTGTGAAATGAGCCTGTAGAGAAAGTGTGCGTGCATACATGCATTTGTGTGTGTGTGTGTGTTTGTGTGTATGTGTGAAACAGAGAGAAGCTTGTTGTCTCTTTGGCGTCCATGCTCCTATAATTTTCCAGTGTTTAACTGGGGGTTGGTTAGGTACTTCACAAAGGATGCACTAAATTCTTTCTTTACTAAGTGTAGTTTCCAGCATAGAAAACATAGCTTCCAAGGGCACCTAACTTCCCCAGGGAATAGTTTGCAACTGGGGATACTTCGTTCAACAATCAATGAACCAACATGAATTTATTGAGCACATGCTCATCACTTTGCTAGACACAGTGAAAGATAAAGAAATATAATTAGACACGGTCCTCATCCTTAAAGAATTTACTTCCTAGGTAATGGGCAAGGCTAACACACATGAAAGAGAGAAAACAAAAAACAAAAAACAAAAAACAAAAAACTGCAAGGCAGTCTGTAATTGGCAACTAATGGTGTGGTTTAGACTGTATGTGTGATAGAGGAATTCAGGGAAGAGAGAGCTCAGTGAAGGTTAGATTAGAGCTTTATGGAAGAAGTGGGACTTTAGCTGGGTCTGAAGGACAGGTAGAGTTAGATGAGCTGAGGAGTGAAGATGAAATAAGACAGTCCCTGTCCCCAGATAGCTTATATTCTAATGGGGAAGAAGGAACAGGAAGAGAAGAGAAGATGGGAACACCAATAACTTGTTTTTAGGTTCCCAGTCCAGGTACCCTTCCTATTCTTCTCTTTTCCTTGTGTTTATCATAGTCTCCTAAACTTTCTACTTTCTACCTATAGGGCTAGTCTTTTGTGTTCAGAATGATACTGAGTTGCTTAGAGATCCTGAATCATGAGAAAAAGAACCAGCTCTGGCTGTTACAGATTATTTACTCAGGTTGGAAAATGAAGTAATAAATTTCAATTTGTTTATATTTTAAAATTTTAATACTTTTGGTGTTGATACAGTAGCTATATCCTAGCAAACCTATGAACCCCTACCCCAGGCAAAGTACATTCTTTGAAAAGTATTAAGTGGAAACCACCCAAAAAGAATGATTGAAATCGACAGCATATGTGGATTTCCACTTTTGTAATTTACGTAGCAGAAAGGAAGGATGCCTGCTTCAGCTTTAATAATTTGATGCCAGCATCATCCATTGTTCAACTTGAGTTTTGTGGCTGTTGGGTCAAGTCTTCATTTACATTGTTATCATTGTATGTATTCTGCATTTGGTTTTGCTTTCTTTACTCACTTCATCTAAGGGTTCTCACATTTCATTGACTTTTACATATTTCTTGTTCCCCATGGCCCAGAATTATCCCATTATATTCATAGAGCCTACACTTGGTTCAGTTAGCCTCTAATATTCATACTCATGATTTGTTTCTTGCTTTTTTGATATTAACAAATAGTGCTGCTATGAATATTTTCATACAAATGGGTCTTTTCTTACTGTCAGTGACCTCCTTGGAGGTACAACCCCAATAGAGGGTTTATCAAATACAAACCATTTAGTAACTTTTTTCATAATTTCATTCCCCCCCCAAAAAAAAGTTTGGATCAATTCATAGCCCTGCCTGAAGTGAGTACATTAGCATAGTTTAGAAAGATTTTTAAAAAAATAAACTTTTATTGATATCTTTTTTTTGATGTTGCCTAAATTTTATCCTATATCCTTACAAGGATGCAGTAATATAAGGAGAAATTTAGGCAATGTAAAAACTTCCCCCATTCCAGAGAGCTATCCCATATAACAAATTTAAAAAAAAAAGAAAAAACAAGATGAAGAAGAAAAAAATCAGCAAAATGGTCAATACATAAAAAAAAATGACAATATATACAATGTTCCACATTGTGGACCCTCCCTCTCACCTTAGTAATGAGGGGCGGTGTCTAGAAGATTTTTTTTTTAAACAATGAGTTGAAAAAGAAAGGATATCCATTTAATCCTGGCTACTTCAATTTTTCAAAGGTTCCATGATCCCACCAATGTGGGATCTAACCTACACCTTCACATCTTTTTTGTTCTGATTGACTTTTTTCCATGCCCTCCCATAAATCTTCAGAAAAGGGTCCACCAAGTGTGCTGGGTGGACGGGGGGCTGGAACTCCTTCACACAGGTATCAGTGCAGTCCTCAGGCTGTCCATTTGGTGTACTTCACTCTCACTACATGACTGACCCATTTCCTTTTCCAGTCACGGAATGACTGGATGACTTTTGGATGATATCTCTTCTTCTACGCAAACCATTGTTGGTTATAAGTTATAGTCCACTTATCTTTCCACTGTCCTTTGGGTCACACCCAGTTTTGATTCTTCAAAGATTATTTGTAGTCCTATAGTCTTACTGGAGGACTCACTTTTTGGTGTTGAAAAGATAAATTTTTGTTTCAGAGAGAAGCTTGGGGTTAGTAAAAGCACTGTACAACTTCCCAGATTCCTTCTATTTCCCATGCTAAGAATCAACTTTTGGTTAATGAGAAAATAATTGCCTACAACAGGCCATTCTCTGAAGAGCCCAGGTCATTGGGTGTCTACTAAGATTTAGTTTCTTTACACATGCAAACCTTAGAAACCAAGACATAAAATTGACTTTGCAACCAGGTACCTTACTGAGTCCTTTCTCAAAGTCCTTTCTTGTATCTATTCTCAAGTATTAAAATGATTATGGATGGACCATGTATAATTCCTTGAAGGATGGAATGATGTCATATAATCATAGAATATTAGTGTTGGAAAGGACCTTAGAGGTTATGTATTCCAGTCTGTCATTTTATAGATTTTTTTTAACAGATGAAATACTTTATACATTGTTCTTGAATGAAAGAGGCAGATGTCTGATATTGCTTAAAGATTTCAGTCATATATTATCATATAATTGTGAATTATTGTCCTAAGAATCCAGACTCTAAAATACGGTCTGTATGTATGTGCTTTGTCTGTGTGTAACTAACTAATTTCCTAACCCCAGCATCCACTGACAAAGATGAATATTTCTGAGTTGAAGGCATTAGGTCTTTATTTTACATCATTAGCTTTATTTAAGTGACTTTAGAATGAAGAAGAATAAAGTTAATAACCATATTGAAATGTAACTTTCTTCTTCCAGTTCTTTGGCCAATAACCACATAAAAACACTTCCAAGGGATGTCTTCAGTGATTTAGATTCATTGATTGAACTGTAAGTAATGCAAACCACATTTATATTTGCTTGCCATTATGGTCCATTTAATTGTGCACTTTAAATGTTTTCCCCTCTACTCTTTTGTTTGCATTCTTGCTGAAATCTGTAATAAAACTAGAGTATATTGTGTTACTCGTATGTATATTGTGAGTACAGTGTACATTGTGTTAGCTTTTGTAGTTTTCAAATGCATTTTTTATGAAGATTAAGTTAGACTCTAAAGGTGGGCCCTTCTTCTCTAACTCCCCACCGCTACGGTTATTGGCTATTATCTATTTTATGGTGTTTGTCAGTTTTTGTTTTTGGCCAGGTTTGGTTTAGACAACTCAATGTTTCAGTTGTGCTTGTGAAATATTTTCCTGTTATGTCCTGTTTGAGTGGGTAAGAACCTGTGTCAATAGGATTCTTATACCAAACTTGTTTTGCATGGAACAGTGACGATTTCAACAGTGTTTGAAGAGAGAGTGATACATCATCCCGATTGAGTTTTTCAGTGAGCAACAAGTGCTCTCTCTTTACCATAAAACTAAAATCCTGAGCCCAGAAGACCTTTAAATAAAATTGTTGTGACAAGTGAAAAGAAGTAGGTTGCAATGATTGGGAAATTTCAAAAACCAGGTCCAATGTCTTGGGGAATTAAATATATTAGGGTACTAACAGTGCTACTGTTTTGCATTACTACCAACCATTTCAAACATGTCTATTTCTGTGTGTTTTTTTAGAGATTTAAGGGGCAATAAGTTTGAGTGTGACTGCAAAGCCAAGTGGTTGTATTTGTGGTTAAAGATGACAAATTCCACTGTTTCTGATGTCCTATGTATTGGTCCACCAGAATATCAGGAAAAGAAGTTAAATGATGTGGCCAGTTTTGATTATGAATGCACCACTACAGGTATTCAGAATGTATCTTTTTAACCACACCATAAATGATTGAAGATTCATATTTAGAACCATTTCTTTTTTTATTCTCTGCTAGAATGTCTATGGGGAGTGGAAGAGAAGCTTCAAAGGGGAGACGTTCTATTAAAACTATTTAGGAAGAATTCACAATTCTAGATGAAGTTAACACAATAGGGTAAGGAAAAAGAATTGGAGGTGAATTTTTATTCTGAAAGAATATTAAAAGAGCCAGGGAATTAAAATTCCACTAGGTCTAATCATGATCTGCCCTATGATTCCTATTTCATTAGTCAGCCCTTTAACTCAATAAATCAATAAGGCAGCTCTTTGTGAAAGGGTATGGCTAGGTAAATTGCAATGAGTGTTAAAATAGAAAGTAGATCAACAATGAATGTTTGTATATCCAGGGGGAAATTTTTTTTTAAATGACAATTTGATTTTTTCCCCAAAAGTAATATCCTGAGAACAGCCTCAAGGTTCCAGTTTATGTTTTTTTGAAGGCTGTCAGATAACAAAATTAAAATATTAACTGCATGGAATAACACAACAAAATATCAGTTATATGTCTTCAAGATGAAAAGATCTGAGTTTTTGCCTCTTTTAAGGCAAGCTTTAAAGATAAAGTGAATCAATAAAGGAATGCTATGAAAGTTGCTTACCAAATATGTAAAAATAATCATTCAGAATGATAGTTGATATCTCCAAAGCCCCAGGGCATGCTAAAGGAGAAGCCATGAGAATGAGGAATGCAAATTCAAGGGGAAAAAAAGTGAAACTAGGTAGTCAGAGCCAAAATCATACAACAGAATGTTAGAGACTTCCCTGGGGATCATCTGGAAATTATGCACAGGAGGAGACTGAGGCTCAGAAAAGGGAAGGTGATTTGCCCAGATTCACATAGTGAGAGGCAGAGCCAGTACTCGGACCCATTTTCTAGATTCATACCCAGTCAGAGCTTTTTCCACTGTACCATATTCTGGCATTTGTTATTTCAGGGTCCATTCAATGAAAAAAAAAAAAAAAACAAACCAACCACAAGGTGAAAATGATTTTTTTTTTTAGAATTTGACCTTTGTAAATAGGTGGCCATGCAAGCAATGTTTTGGTCTAATGGAAAACCTGGAATTTCAGGAAGACCCTGAAATTCTGTCCCCATCTTGTTATTCATGTCTGAACAGGGACTTCTTTGTGTGCCTAGATCCTTTGAGATTAAATGTGAATGTGCTTTAATCCTTTGCCAACTACTAGCATTTTTATCTATGAGAAACCCATCAACCATTGATATTTATGCCAAATATTCCCCCGCCCCTCCACTGGACCTTTTGTCTGACCTCCAGTTTTTCATCCTCTCTCCTTTCCCCATCTCTGCTCTTCAGTAGAGAGATATGCTCTGAGTAATTAACTTGGCCTGGTGCACCCCATCCTTCTTCCCTATTCACTTCTTTTTCTCTCCGTGTGTCCTGGAATATGAACAACTTGTCAACTTTAGAACATTAGGGTTCTAATGTTCTAATGGTCTGGAAGGATGATGTCTTCCTGACTCCTTGGGGCAGAGGGGAGATCTGGGTGCCTGAAAAGAATCTATATTAGGGGATGTTCCTGAAGTAGAATCCCATGAAGCATCACCTAAAAAAGTACAGGATCTGAATTCAAATCTGCCTTCAGACACTTACTAGCCATGTCATCTTGAGCAACTCACTTAACTTCTGTTTACCTCATTTTCCTCAGCTATAAAATGGGGATATTAATAGCACTTCCCTTTCAGGGCTTTTTTGAGACTCAAATGAGATAACATTTATATAGCACTTAGCATAGTGCCTGACACATAGTAGAAACTATATAAGTGATAGCTATTATCATTGAAGTGGCATGGGAATGAGGAAGTGGCTTGATGCAAAGTGGTCAGCACCTGAAAACTGCTGTAAACCTGGAATGCATGGGGTAACTGAGGCCTGATAATGGATTTTAAACCATGCACAATCAGTGGCTTTTCATTAGTTAACATGAATTAGTCAGCACTTGACTGGTTTTGGGAGCATGTTGTCATAAAACTTCCTGACAAAAGGAAAAAATAGCAATCTTCGGCTTTGTTTTTTCCCCTCCTGTAACAGGAACCAACCACCTAGTCATCGGTTTCTTCCCTTGCAATGAAATTGGCACAGAAAAATTATGACCTGCCTAGACCATAGAAACACTGCATTGCAAAAACTAGGTCAAGAAATTATGAGTTATTGGCTTTCCCTTTTTTGCTCAGACCCTACTTTGTCCCCTCTGCTGCTTTAATAAAGGCTCAAGCTATCTTGAGGAACAATACCAAGAAAAACAGAAAGCCCAAAGCTAGAGCCTATGCTAAGTATTTGAAAAGGGATCTCTTTTGTAGTATGTAATGTTCCTCCCAAGTCACACTTTCAGAAATGGAGCATTTAAGCATGCCATCCCTGTTTGCCCCTATGGAGGAGAGGTGGGCTGTTGTTTCTACTGTCCTATAGCAAAGCCACAGAAGCCATTAACAGCACAAGTCACTGCTGTGAAGTTTCACCCATGCATATTGAGCTCACAGCTCCATTTCCCCTTCCTCTCCCTCCCCCAGCTTCAGCCTAATTTTAGCTATCTTATAGTATTACCTGTGTAAGGTGAAGTCACCAGATTCCTTGCGGGAGTGAATTTTGCATCATAATTGCCCCGTTATCTCCCTTGTTTCAGGGGCTAATGAAAATGCAAACAGAAGTGATGCATTAATGTGCAGTTTCTCTCCCAATAGGATTTGTATCATGTATAATTTATTTAGTAAGTGTGCTATAAATAGTCACATGAAATTCTGTTGATTCCAATGGGAGTCAGATTTAAATTGCAACAGCCCCACTGACATCATGAACTTGATCCAACAAGAACAGAAGTGGCAGCTCTGATTCCAGAGAATCCTATTAATACTTTATCACTTACGCGTTGATGTCATGCCAATATATGCAGTCTTTGAGAGGGTTTCAGGATGATTATGCTTCTGCTAACTGCTATTTAATGGTAAATGAGGGATTTTATGTAAATGTCTTCAATCCCCCACACACCTTTTCCTTTCATCCTTCCCTTTTGTCTAAATGTCTCCCATTAAGAATTAGACTCCTGGTTCCAGCCATTAACTGATTTTGATATGCCAGATATTCAGTATATATAAAGTATATGCAAACACTTTTACAAAAAGGATTCAGCAACAGGAGGGCTTAATGGAACCAGTAAAGGATAGAGTTTCTAGAATTTGTTTTTTGAATTATCTTCCTCTTTTTGCAGTTATAACTGCTCATTTCATGACTCTTTAAAGACTAAAACTGCTGCTGAATTACAAAACTTGACAATTTAAAAGAGTCACATATTTAATGGAACATTAATGTATCTGAGAATTAAGGGTGCAGTTAGGAGACTAATGTGAACTAGGAAGAGTTGTGAGTTATGAGTAAGATGGGACTTGTTTGACACTCTTGGCAGATTTGGGTTATACTTATAAAACAGGAAACCCAATAAAGAAAGTTGAAAGTCATCTCTTTTGTAATTAGAAGAACACAGCTGCATTCTTTGTATCCTTCTACACATCCTTATAACAGTGAACATGTAACTGTCACCAACTCCCCCTCCCTCCCCCTTTTTCATTTGTCATCTTTATATTTACAAGAAAATTGGCAAAGCCTTGTTCTTCTTTTTTCATGAGTGTCAGCAAAAGCAAGACCAACCCAGGTTGAGGAAGCCTGGTTTTACTCATTGCTGGGTAGCTGTAGCAAAGCCTAATTATCTCAATTCCAAATTTTATTAGTGTTGTCTTCCTTTCTGTTGATGGACAACTTACTCTACCATCACCCTGATCCCTTTTTTTTGTTTCTTCCCACCTCCTGTGCCTAGACCATCACAATCATCTCCTGTCTATCATAGATTGAAGCAATATCCTTTCTGCTTCAGCCATTCTCTTCCCTGCCAGCATCAATTCATTCACCTGGGGCCTATTGACAGCGATAGCTTTCGACGGACTAAAGTGATGACAGGAGCCTCTACTGTTTTTTTTTTCTGAGATGCCCAAGTTTTACTGAGAAATCTATGCAATAAGGAGTCAACACTCATTAAGCCAACAAGAATTTATTGAGTGGGCCACTAGGTGGCGCCATAGTGCATAGAGCACTGGGCTTGGAGTCTGGAAGAGTCATCTTCCTGAGTTCAAATCTGGCCTCAGACACTTACTAACTGTGTGACCCTGGGGCAAGTCACTTAACCCAGTTTGCCTCAGTTTCCTCATCTGTAAAAAGAAGGAAACAGCAAACCACACAGTATCTCTACCAAGAAAACCCCAAATGGTGTCACAAAGAGACTGAAACTTGATTTATTGAATATGTCCTGTGGTCCTAGTGCTAGGAGCATGGAGGGTAGAAAGGAAGAAGGTATTGTCCACACACTCAAAAAAGTGTGGTTGGCAAAAAGGGCTAGCATTTTAAAACTATCACTACCAGCAGAATGTGAGTTTAATTGTGACTGAAACAAAGGGGGTGACAAGTGAAGTGAGCATCCTTTCTTAGACTCATGCCTTCATTTTTTCCATTTGATGAAGAGTCTCCTGCTCTTTTCATCCCTTACCTCTGCCTCCTTGCCTGGAACTCCTATTCTACTCAGCCCAACCATATCTCTTCAGCTGCTTATTTCCCATTTCCTGCCCTCTTCAACACTTCTTTTCTCATCTAGTTAACTTCTCCCTCATTTTCTATGCCACTTCTTTCATCTTTCCTTTACCTTTTTTCGTCAGGTGCAATCCCTCAGTCTCATCTCTCTCTCTGTCTCTCTCTCTCACTCTCTGTCTCTCTCTGTCTCTGCCTCTCTCTGTTTTTCTCTGTCTCTCTCCCCCCATCTCCCTCCCAGTTTCCCTAACTCTTCCCTAAATACCTTCCTCTTCCTTCCCTCCAACTTGTCCCTTATCAACTGAAGTGACTTTAGTGAGGCAATCCAAGCAAAAATAAAATTAACAAGTGTTTTATTGAATGCCTACTGTATGCAAGAGCAGTAAGGGGAATAAAAGCATAAAACTGAGTAATTCCTTCAAATATCTCCCTATCTACTGGAGGAGATAAGGCATAAACATACAAAAATTAGTAACCGATGTAATAGCTTAAAACAAAGAGAGTATATAATACACACTCAACAAGTAGTACAGACAGTAAGTTCCAGGAGTTTTGAAGTGAGAGAATGCTTGATTACGGTGGTCACAGAAAGCTTTGTGGAAGATTCGGTTCTTGTGCCAGATCTTAAAAAATCAATATGATTCTGATTTATGGAGAAGTATAGGAGACAGGAAAGAGGTCCATTCCTGGCATAAATCACTTACCATTATGCCACCAATCTATAATGCTTAGAAGTGAGCCAATATTTAACCTGGGCCCTATTGACAGCAGCAAGGCAGTGTGGCATAGTGGATAGAGAATTGACTTTAAATCCAAGAAGTCCTGGGCTCAAGTTCCATCTCTGATACTAACTGGTTGCCTGACACTGGGCAAGTCACTAGTGCCCCCAGATAGTTCTCTAAGACCAAAGGTTGCAGAGAAACCAATCTTCATTGGTAGAGGGAGTTTCTTTACCTGGGAATTTCTAAATAAATGAAATTATTCTAATAATTAAATATATAATTTTTATATATTATATATACAAATAAATACAAATAATTAAAATAAATAATCCCTATCCCCTGAAAGTATCTGGGTAAATTTTGTCCATTTATTTTGTAGGCTAATCACTAGTATTTATTATTTGATAGCTTTTTGGAGATTCTCCCAGCCCCAGATTTCTCTAGGTCACATAACTACTATCCAGCATCACTTCTTAGAAAATATTCACTTAATCCTCACACAGTTAGACAGGCATGCCAGCTTTTCAGTGCCATGCTAAGTATCTTTTGTAGAGGACTATAAGGAGGAAGATTGAGTTGCCACCAAATGCACTAAGAATTTGCTAATGAGAAATAATCATCTGTGGCTACCCAAATCCCACAGTAACCCTCCACCTTCTCTATAGAATCAGGGAGTCAGTTAGTAACCAAATTCAGGTTATTTCCCCACTCCTCATCATAGATTAAACTGCAGGTCACTAGAATGGCTCTTGAAGAGGCCTAAATAGAAAAGAAATGCCTCTGAGATGCCATAGTCACTGCTATTGCCTGATTCTTATAAGACAGGTCAGGTTTTGCAGCCTAAGCTTGACAGCCTCCCTTTTCAGTATTTTCTGTACTATTGTTTTCCACTAATTAGCCACAGTTTTCCCGTCAGAAGCCCAGGATCTGAGAGAACAGGTATGTCAGGCTGCCTTTCTTAGTTCTTGACTTCACAGAAATTCATCTGTTGAACAAAAACAATAGACTACACCTGAGGCTTGAGGACGTGATTCCATTTCAAAATCTGAAGGCACAAGGTTTGCATCCGCTTCTCCAGTTGAGTTTTTTGACGTGCGGCCTCTGTGGCATGTAGCCTCTTTCCCACAACTTTAAAAGCTGTTCCTGCCAATTTTATTAGAAAGATTTGAAATCCCTTAACTTACTTCTGAAGCCACTCACCTGGAGGGAAACTTAATAGGAGGGGTAATATAGGCTGCAAATCCTGTGCAGACCATGATCTTTCCAGGATCCCCTACCGTGAATTATATTTTGATGCTTTTAATGAGTCTAAACATGTTCTCTTTCCCTTGTTTTCCCCCCATTCTGGCAGTACTATTGATAAATGAGGCGGGAAATAAGTGACTGTGGGTATTTCCAGCTGGTGATTTTTATGGTCATTGTTTATTTGTTTTTTTAATTTCTGGTTTTAGATTTTGTGGTGCATCAGACTTTGCCCTACCAGTCTGTTTCTGTGGATACATTCAACTCTAAGAATGATGTTTTTGTGGCCATTGCACAACCCAGTATGGAAAACTGTATGGTCTTGGAGTGGGACCACATTGAAATGAATTTCAGAAGCTATGACAACATTACAGGTACGTTTATGGTCCTAATCGGTTTTATCTACCAACATTCAGCATTGTCTAAGGCCTATGAAAGAAGAAATGTTCTCGGTCATAAAGGGACATCTTGGGTGCTAGACTGTGCATCCTAGCGTACACACAGCACACATTTTCTCTCTTGCTTTTGCTTCATGTTGTCCTTTCTGCCTGGAATGACGAAGATATTCTCTGGTGACTCTAATCAAATGAGCTTGGGGAGAGAAGAAAAGGAAATGTATCATTTTAAAAAATATTACCAACTGCTATTGGTAGGATATGTGTTTAAATTAAATTTCCAGGAGCAGTAATAGGTGATAAAATCATCCGAAGTCTCTTGCCTTGATCTTCCTCCTTGTCCTTGAAGTTTTGGTTCCAGGTTTTGGCTAACTGGGCAATGCCTAATTGTGTTGCATCTAATTAGGAGTATATCCTCTGAAGCCAAGCCAATAGCCCTTTCCTGGTTTGTGTCCCCATTTTCCCAGCTGACTTTGTGATGTTTCTAGAGATACAAGGTCAATTAGGGCAGGCCAGGAGTCATTTCTTTTGTTATCTAACTACTCTAGACAATCTTGATTGACTCTAGTTGATTCTAGAAACATAGAGAAAGCAGTGAAGAGAGGCAGACATGGAGATATTCCAGGGGTTCCAAGACACATTAGGGGGTAAGGAATGCACCATACTGGATTAATCCCATACTCTTCTGTGTCTTCCATCTTGGAGAATATCAGCACCCACTGAGCTTTTATTATTCCAGCAGTCACAGTTTTCTGATCATATAGCTAATCTAAACTGTAGCCATTGTTTTTTGGTATTATTAGTATTATTGCTTCTGGGAAAAATCAGCCCACTTAAAACTCTTCTTTTTCCAACTCCTGATGTAGACCCACCTCCTTTTCCACATTGATGGTTTGGTTATGCCATCACACAGACATCCTCGTAGTTGTAGAATACTAGAGGTGAAAAGGACCTTCGAGAACACCTAGTCTCAGATGTTCACTGACTCCAGGTCCAGCATTCCTCCCCCTTCTCCCCAACCCCCTACTGTACAAAGATCACTCAGCAGCGAATGGCAGGGCTACTTCTTTTGATTCTAAATGTGATTCGATTACCACTTTACCCCATAGCTTTTTTTTTCTGTGGAAAAATGGAGATCCTCTTTACCCTAATAAAATTGTGAAAGGTTACTGTTGAACAAATAAACACACCGACTATGCCATTTCTTAGGAAAGAGACACAGGAGGTCTTCTAGCACCTATCTCACTAGCAGGTTCACTTTGATTCGGTCAGACAGGAAGAGAGGAATGGAGTCATAGTAAGAGGTTAAATAAGCTTACTTTATTCTGGTCTTCTCAAAGAGAGTTTGCTGATATTGGGAACACCAACTCCTACAGCATTCTCTAACAATCCTTCGTGAAGGGGAGGGCAACTACCCCTCGTCTCAATGGGGTCAGTTGAGACCAGCACAACTTGTGCTCTCCCCTAAATCCCCTCAAGCCTCAATGGGGGCCAGTTGAGGCAAACACACAGATTTCCCCCTCCCAAGCCTTGATAGGGGCTGATCAAGGTATGCACAGCATTCAGTCTGCACATTCACTCCTGTGGGGATCCCCAGTTACTGACTAGTGCCCACTTGCTTTATAGGGCAATAGACAAAGAAGGCACATTGCCAGCAATAGCCTCACAATTTTATATCACTTCATCCCTATATCTACTATGAAAGCATGGTAGAAACTGTTTCAAACCATGATCGTGAGAACTCATATCTAACACCTGGGAAGTAGAGATTGTTATGGCTATGGATCCTGGGAAGAAAACTCTAAGAAAGAATAATAAAAAATCCACTTTACACACACTAAAATTCACCTTACTTACAGTTAACCTAAGCTGTCTAGTAATAGAGCCAGTTCCCTTAGCATCCAGGCTACCTGACCCTGACCTAAGCACCTAAATTGGACTTCATGAAATTTCTTGGCAGTCTGTTGAGTGGTTCCGTGCAATGGGGATTTACTCTTGTTTAGGCAACAAGAACCAGTTTGGAACCACTGTCCTCAGGAGTTCCCTCTCCTGAGCTGAGACAAGTTTCTGTGGAACTGCCTTTTTTTTCCCCTTTTTCTTTTTCACATTGCCTGTGGCGATGTCACTGTGCTCAGCTGATTTCAATTAGACCCTTCAAGTTAAAGCTGGATGAATGATTTGGCATGCTGGCTTCTTAAAAGGACGCAGTGATTTTGAAAAGGCAACAACATATGTTATATGTAAAGTTAGTCATTTAACAGTCATGAGAAAACAGGTTTCTTCACACCATCAGTCTCCCTAAGGTGGCTGAACTTAATTCTCCCTACTCCCCAAGACAGTTTATGCTCCCCCCCCCCGTATTTTAAAGCAACTGAATCCATATAATTTTGAGTTTTGAGGGCCATTAAGAAGTTTCTCTCTTGTAAAGATAATTTTAGAGATCTCGCATCAATAGGGCATCTTAATGTTGTTATCTAAGTTGTGTGATGGATTTGCATTGGCCTCTTCACACATTGTTATGTCCAAGGGAAAGTATTTTGGGAGAAAAACACAGGCTAAGGGTATATAGCTATGGTCATATAATGGAATGAAATCAACTAGCCCACATAGGGATTGAACCTATGACCTTGGAGTCCATAGCACAGATTTCTAACCAAATGAACTAACTAATCCTAGTCATGAATGGAGTATTGACATGATTTATTTATAACACATTTGAATCCCATGGAGTCCAACTTTTCTAAATGGGGTATTTAAGCTTATTGTGTTAGATTGTCAAGTAGAGTGTTGGTCTTGAACCTAGCAAGACCTGAATGTGAATCCTACTTTAGATAACTATCCATGTGACTTAACTTCTCCCATCTTCAGATTCTTCATCCATAAAATGGGACTAATAATAGCCAAAGGAGATTATATATATATAATATATTTACAATACTTATATATGCATACATATATTTATATATGATCACACAAAACACATGTATGCATATGTGCATCTATATGTATGTATAAACATACATATATATGAAGCCCTTTCCAAAGCTATTATGATGTAGAAAGTTGGACTAAATGGTCTTTGAGGTTCATTTCAACACTATGATTCTATTATGGTTATTGTAATATTATGATTATGGCACTGAGTTCCATAGCTACATTAATTTTATTTTGGATCCCTGTTTATGAAGCAGGATATTTTAAAAAAACACCTAATTATCTAATTGCAGATAAATATACCTTGAGGCTATTTGCTGTAAAAAAGAATAGACTGGGCAGGATTGTTCTATTCAGTCGGCTGCTTCTGCAAGGACTATTATTAATGCCTTCATTTACATCAGTCATTTCTCAGTATCCCTTCCCTCCCTATAACACAAACACACACACACACACACACACACACATTATGACTCTGCTTTTGCCACAAAGAAAAGAATTGAGCAAAGCTGATAAAGCAACTCCATATGATGATATGCCCAGCACTCCATGCTCGTGGTCACCCTACATCTCTACCAAGAGGGTACCTACATGCATGTGTGTATATGTGTGTATGCACATACATACATATATTTGCATATACATATATAATACACATTTAATCATCTATTCTTTAGAACAGTTCAGCTGAGCTCAACTGCCTTTTGGGTTATTTTCATATGTTATCAGAACCATCCTATTGTAAGATAGGAATAAGGGGATCACAACATTCAGGCCCCTGGAGCCAGATTTGCTAGTTTATCTCTTCCAGTATTCCGAATGGGATCTTGATGTCTTGTTTCTCTTAAAATCCAGCAGTCTTCTTGGTTTTTTTTTTCCTTGTTTCTTATTAGTGAGATGGTGTCCAATCACTGTATTTTATGAGCTTTCTTGATGATTAGTAAGAAAACTGTTACTAACATTAATGTTATGAAGAGGCAAAGAAGCATGGGCTATTTTCCTATGAGGATAATTTCATAAAAAACATAGACTTTTAGAGCTGAATGTCCATTTAATTCAACAATCATTTAAGTGCCCATTGTGAACAAAGCACTGTGCTAATTCCAAGGAAAGATGTTCCTTGCCCTCATGAAGCTTAGAGTTTTATGGGGGAAATGACAAAACCACAGATAACTGTAATTTGAAAGAATATATTCTAAGTGCATTAAAGCCAGAGTGCTATCTGAGGGCCAAGGAAAGGGAAGAAGAAGAGAATTCGAATTAATATAGCACCTACTATGTGTGTCCTAGGTACTGGACTAAGCACTTTACAAATATCTCATTTTATCCTTATCAAAACCCCTTAAGGTAGATAACTGGAGGGAAACAGGATGGCTTTATAAGGGACTTGGCATTTTAGTTGAGTTTTAAAGGCTGAGTAGTAAAAATAATAGCTAGCATTTATATAGTGCTTTAAGATTTGTAAAGCAATTTACAGACACCACATTTTATCTTCACAACAACTCTGGAAGGTAGGTGCTATTCTAATCCTATTTTACAAAAGAAGAAATCAAGGCAGACAAAGGTTAGGTAATTTGCCCTGGGTCATGCAGCTGGAAGAGTCTGAGGTTGGATTGGAACTCAAATCTTCCTGGCTCTAGGGCTACTGCTTTATTCATTGCCCCTGGCTGGGTAGGGATTATATAAGCCAAAGAAGACTATTTCAAGTGTAGGGAATTGTGTGAGTGAAGATAACCGAGATGAAAAAAGTTTAGAGCATGTTCAGGAGTTTGGTTGGAGCATAGAATAAATTAAAGGAATTAAGTAGCATAAGATAAAACTGGAAAATGAGGATGGGACCAGATTTTGAATATCTTTGAATGGCAGGCAGAGAAATCTTGAACTTTACCTGGTAGGTAGTAAGAAACTGCCGAACTTTTTTTTTAAGCAGAGGAGTGATATGAACAGAACTATGAATTAGGAAGATGGTTCTGTCAACATAGAAAGGACTGATTGGAAAGAGAGACAGAGAGTAAAGTCAGGAAAACTTCTTAGGATTCTGCAATTCATAATTTTCTTTTTCTGTTTTTACTCTTCCTGGTTTAGGTATCAATATCATATTCATTTCATAAAAGGAATTTGGTAGTTCAGGTGGATAATGCGACTGTAGCAGGGGGGTGACAATGGGAATACAGAGGGGGTGAATTGGAAAGCTTTTATAGAGGAAGTCTCTCCAGGACTCGATAATTTATTGAATGACTAGTTTAGCCAGTGGAGCAGTGAGGGAGAGATAAGACTCAAAGATAACAACAAAATTTGGGCTGAATGGTGGTTACTATAGTCAGAAAAAAGTGAAGTCAGATGAGGAAAAGGTTTACAGAGAAACACAGTAAACTTAGTTTGGAGTATGTTGAAATAGAGGTGTTGGTGTGACATCCAGGTGGTGATGTCATGTTGGTGCTTAGAGATGCACGGGTCTGGAGCTGAAAGAGACATAAAATGGTCTAGTCCAACTCTCATTTAACAGATTTCTTTAGGAGCAAGACCTTAGAGTTACAATTAGAGACCCTTCTTGCTAGCATTTCAGCATAGGAGACTCCTAGGAATTTCTCAGGAATGAACTGGCTTCCTAGTAAATGCAGGGACATCAGGGCTCCCAGAGAATGTCATTTCACCCCCTCAGGAAGAAGGGCTGCTAATTAGCCTAATCTCACAATATTGAGAGGTCTGCGAGAGACACATCCTGATGCTCCGAAGATGCCATTTCAAATAAGGCTTCTATGTTTGTTGTCAGGCCATCTGGTCTCTTAGTGCTGAACTAACATTCCTGGAAACAACGGCTCCACTCTGGAAATGCAAATTCAGCACACTCTAGGGCAGGTGAATCTAATGAGAGAGCCTGGCTGTCCTAAGAACTTTACCTAATAAATTTTAAAAGTGCAAACAGCAAAAAAAAAAAAAAAAAAAAAAAAGGAGAGGCAGTAGGGACAAGTGGCCAGAGTTTGTCACCTCCCTGTTTTCAATTCTGTTAAACATGCAGGGATCAGAGGATTTTGCATTAATTACTTTGATTGTTACCCATCCCTTCTTTACCACCTCTGATGAAGCAAAATCTGTACAGTTTGTACCATTGCAGCTGTTCTCTATTTGAGGAGGCAGAAATCAGTTTCCCACCTATTTTTGCCTAGTGTCTCCTTCATAAGTTTTCCTTCTATTATGTGTTCATGGGAATCTGGGATTAGACCATAGGGTGGATAGTGCTTCAACTTATTTTTCAGAATTATACTTAACGTTTGAATTCCTCATGTGATGTTCCCTTGGTTTTCAAAAGAACAGAAAATACTCTGGAAGTCACATAACTCTGACAAGAAACCAAGAGAAGGATCTGGGAATGGACAAGAGGACCCCGTCCTGGGTCCTGCCTGCTTTCCCTAGTGCAAACGGGAAGTCTGGACTTTTCTATGATTTTATCTACGTCTCTTCAAATGTTTTATAAATAAACCCAAGGATCACCTGCGTCATAGGGACAGCATGATGGATGGTGAAGAGTATGGCCTTCCATCCCTGGAGAGAAACTGCAGTTGATAAAATGCAGAACAGCAGTAGTGATGACAATGAGAAATGAATAAAGAAAAGGAGCAACTAATAAGTTGCTGAAAACAAAGGAGGTGAAAGTGGGCCAGTCTCTCCTCCCTGAGCGGTGCTTGTCCTGATTATCACCTCGATGACTATGGGTTGATCCCTGGCTGTGTCGGGGAGTCCCCAACCCTCCCCCCCCAACTTGATGTGCTGACAACAGGAGCTGAAGCTGAGCTTCCATGACTCCGATGGGATTCTCAGTTCCTTTTGTATAGGACTCAAGTGAAGCAGGGCAAATTTGCATCTTTCTCAGACCTTATTTACCTATAATGTCCACATTATTCCTAGACATTATTCACTTATGGTGCATTCTCTGCCCTCATTACTCTGTCTGCCTGTGTGGTGCCCACATTTTCTGCCTATTGAGTTGGTGACAGTTTTGTTCATGTTTTTAAAATGATTTATTTTGAAGAGATGTTCAAGTTCACCTTAGTTATTGACTTCCCCTGCCCCCAGCCCAACCAGCCTCTGCAGAAAAACAGCAGCACTTTCCATTGGCAGGAGAGGCTTCAAGAAAAGCAGAGAGGAAAATACTAATGAGGATTATAGGATTTAGTTAACTGAGTTCTCAGTCCAAATCCCTTCAACTAAAGCAAAGCTAAGTGGATAAATGGAGTAACTATCCTGATTTAAAAAAAAAAATCAGTTCATCTTCCCTATATCTGTGCACACTTCCACCTTCTTTGATTTCTCATGGTAGGTTGTTCTATTTCTTTTCCTTCTTCCATTTAATGCTTTAAAACAGGGTTCTTAGCTTTTTTTGTGGGTGTACTGTGGCCCTTTTTGGCAACTTGGCAAAGCCTATGGACCCCTTCTCAGAATAATGTTTTTAGCACGTAAAATAAAATGCTCAGTATTACAAAGAAAACAATTATGTTGAAATGCAATTATCAAAATATATATGTTTAAAAAACCAAGTTCATGGTTAAGAACTCCTTCCTTAAAGTGAAAGTAGCTGGGATTGCTAATGACTCCACAAAAGTAGTGTTTTCCTGGGAGAAGCTGGAGAAAGCAGCTTTCCACTTGGTTAAGTGCTGGCTCAGGCTGTCCTTCTGATCAGCTGAGCCTGGCATTTCTCTCTGCTGCTTCTGAACTATGGGGACCTAGGTGAAGCGGGCTGTTGAATTAAGGTGAAGCAAAGCAGAAGAGTAAAAGAAAAGACTTTGAAGGAGTGCTCCTAGGAAGTAACAGCACTAGGCCTGGGCTTCCAACAGAAAGCCAAAAGGAAAAGTCAAGGAAGAGTTTCTGCAACTTCCAAGAACAAAGATCACTTTCGTCCAAATTGCCTAGGGAATTGAGGAAAACATACTCATTGAATTTCCTAGATCAAAAGTCTTTTGATCTAAAAAATCTTTTAGATTTTTAGCTCAGTGGGTGCTGATATTCTCCAAGATGGAAGACACAGAAGAGTATGGGATTAATCCAGTATGGTGCATTCCTTACCCCCTAATGTGTCTTGGAACCCCTGGAATATCTCCATGTCTGCCTCTCTTCACTGCTTTCTCTATGTTTCTAGAATCAACTAGAGTCAATCAAGATTGTCTAGAGTAGTTAGATAACAAAAGAAATGACTCCTGGCCTGCCCTAATTGACCTTGTATCTCTAGAAACATCACAAAGTCAGCTGGGAAAATGGGAACACAAACCAGGAAAGGGCTATTGGCTTGGCTTCAGAGGATATACTCCTAATTAGATGCAACACAATTCAAAACTTTTCAGAAGACAGTTGCTTCTTTGCTTACTGAACAGAGGTCTAGAAGTGGAAGTAACCATGGGATGGAAGGAGGGGTATGATTAGGAGGCGGTGGTGGCCCAGAATATGTGGCAACCACCAAGTCTGCCTTGGAAAATCATCTCATGTTCCATCCTGCTGCACTGTAGATTGTCAGTGTTTGATATAAATAATTCAGATAATTTGTTCATTCATTCATTCATTCATTCAGTCAGTCAGTCATTCACTCACTCACTCATGATTACTAGAAAGAAGGCCAGATCTCTTTTCAGACAATAGAGGCCTGGGTTTGAATCCCACCTTTAACACTTCTATGCTATGCCTGACCACATAAAAAAGTCATGAACGTCTCTTGCCACCCTCAACATTCTCATCTATAAAGTGGGGATAAGAATTCCAGTCATAATTACCTCACACAGTTTAGGAAAGGAACAAATGAGAGAACATATCTAAAGTCCTTTGTAAGCTATAACATTTATAACAGGTGCTAGATAACTCATCTCTTGTCATCCATCAATCCATTTATTCAATAATCATGGCACCAAAGGGTCAAGACCAAAGTAGTTTTAAATAAAAGGCATTAAGAGCAGCTTTTGGGAGGGTGTGAGAGGGAGAGGGATTTTTTTTTTCATTTATCAGGATAGTTAACACAATTTTCCACTTGGATTTTTTTTGACTGGTGAGACTTATACTGAGGACTCTAATATCTCTAAAGCTATTGGTTCTTTTGTTTTCCTTTCTGCATCTTTACAGAAAACAAATCCTGTGCTTCCCCTCCTATCCCATAGTGAATATAGCTGGGACTTCTTTCACTGCCACAGTTTTTTATGAGTGAAGACAAAGGAACAACGTGAAAACCACTTGTTTTGTTTTGTTTTGTTTTGTTTTAATTGCTAAGTTTTACTAACGAGCTCTTTTTCTCTGAGGGACCTCAAAGTACTTGAAAAAGAATTTCTTTGGCTATCTTAGGTGATGGAGTTGGATTGTAGCTGCACTAACACCCTTCCTTCCTTTTTGTCTTGGGGAACAGGTCAGTCCATAGTGGGATGTAAGGCAATCCTGATCGAGGACCAGGTCTTTGTGGTGGTGGCACAGCTTTTTGGTGGCTCACACATATACAAGTATGATGAGAGCTGGACCAAATTTGTCAAATTCCAGGACATTGAAGTTTCCCGGATTTCAAAGCCCAACGATATAGAGCTGTTTCAGATCGACGATGAAAGGTTCTTTGTCATCGCAGATAGCTCTAAAGCTGGTTTGTCAACCGTTTATAAATGGAATAGCAAAGGATTCTACTCTTACCAATCTCTGCATGAATGGTTCAGGGACACAGATGCTGAGTTTGTTGACATAGATGGAAAATCCCATTTAATCCTCTCCAGTCGCTCACAGGTCCCCATCATACTGCAATGGAATAAAAGTTCTAAGAAGTTTGTCCCACATGGTGACATTCCCAATATGGAAGATGTATTGGCCGTGAAAAGCTTTAGAATGCAGAACAGCCTATACATTTCCCTTACACGGTTCATTGGGGACTCCAGAGTCATGAAATGGAATAGTAAGCAGTTTGTGGAGATCCAGGCTCTCCCATCCCGGGGCGCTATGACCCTTCAGCCTTTTTCCTTTAAGGATAATCACTACCTAGCACTGGGAAGTGACTATACCTTCTCCCAGATATACCAGTGGGATAAGGAGAAGCAGACCTTCAGAAAGTTTAAAGAGATCTATGTGCAGGCACCTCGTTCATTCACAGCTGTATCCACAGACAGAAGAGATTTTTTTTTTGCCTCCAGCTTCAAAGGAAAAACACAAATATTTGAACATATAATTGTGGATTTGAGCTTGTGAAAGGCTTAAGGAATGAATTACAGTGACATTGGCTCTTAAGAGAAAAGGAGAACAGAGCCACAGCTCTGACTGGGAAAGTTGTTAGAAGTTTTCAGAACTTTTAGAACTCACATTTTAATCAGGGATTGCATTTACTTGGCTAACTGCATGACATGTTCACTCTCATTTTAAGAGACATTTGAAAGCCTGTAATTATTGAGAAAAGCTTGAAGCCTATCAGCATTAGCTCTTACCATCAAGAAAGGAAATGTGTTTTTTTTTTAAATAAAGGAAGAGAAAATTGGATCATATGGGACAGCTCTGATAACTAAAATTTAGGAACTATCCATTCTACCTTAGTGATTGTTTCAGTAAGAATGCTTAAAGCAAAAGTCAGCTAAAAAACATTTGCTGATGATTAGTATAAAATCTTATAATGTCAACACTCAGCAAAGCTATTTTGGGCCATCTTGATTTCATGAAATTGATGTCCAGCCTTCTTTTGTCCTTCTTTGAATAAAATGAAGGATATTGTTTTAATTCACACTGATGTGACATGCTAGGGATATTAACTCTACAGTATTTGAAATTTTTTTGTCCACTACTCAAGAAAAAAAAATGATAAACATCTTAGAGTCCTGGATATGTTAGTCTTGGCAGCAGCATTAAGGGTCTTTCTGCCTTTCATTAGAGCTTCAAAATTGGCCTACATAGAGACCATAAGTGTTTAATGGTAGTTTGTGTGAGCTAAAATTGTTGAATTCCTAGTATCTGCTTACCCCAAATCATCCCTTGAGTTTGTTGGGTAACCCAGTTGACAGACCAAAGATTGAATGATGCCATATACTTGGCCCTCAGAGAGATGAGTCCTGGGGAGGCAGGTACCTCCGTCTACTGCTGTTGATCATTCTGTAGATTTTTTTCTAAAAGAGATTTGTCCTTAGAGAATCCTGTAAAGTCATAGGGGATCCTTCATGAAAGACAGTTTGCTTAGAAAGCCACAGGCAGTCCTTTGGTTTTTGCATGCTTCTCTCTCCCCCTACCAGACAATGTACCTATATAATATATGTATGCATACCCACATGTATCTGCCACTTATCTGTAGTTCTGCCTGGAGTTTGGTAATGCCGCTATTAGCAACACAGTGAGCTGCTGACTCATCTCTTCTGCTTCTCTCCACCCCCACTGGCCCCTGACATAAAGTACTGCAGGTGCCAGACTGTGAAAGTCCTGGATCCCCTCAAGGAGCAGAGTTCTTTCCTGGTTTAGTAACAGCAATGCTTAACAATCACAACCCAACAACAACTAACTTCTGGGGCTAGCGAGTGCCCACAGGTTGATCCACCTCCAGATCAGTGAGGGAGGAAGGGAGCATGGGGCCCTTAGGCTTATCACAAGTGACTGCATATCGAGCCAGATGAGCTGAGTCACAGAGACCTGTTCCATGATTCATAGGACCAAGTTGTCCCTGATCAAAATAAGCCTTTTTTTTTTTTTTGACTCATAATGAAGTTTTTCTTTTCTGTCCTCTGGCCTCAGTTTTGTGGAGGATTCTCACTGGATGCTTTGCATGGTTAACAGTGTTTATGACTCTAGTTTTCTTTGAAATATGTCAGGCAAGATTTTTTAAGACTGCCTATATAAAGGGAAACCAACCACCTCTGTTCCAGCAGTGAAGTTAGCACAATATTATTGCATCAGGTTTTTTTAAAGTCCATTTGCCAAGTCATGGGTAGGTAGCAACCTAGCTACAAATATGAGTGTTTACTGCTTATAAACAGAACGATCTGTAGGCAGCAGCCCTTAGGAGGGTGATGCCATGATGTTCTAGCAGCACCCTTGGGTGCACTATGAGACTGCAGGCAAAGAGTTTCTAGCCCAGAAGATGAGTGGATCTAATGAACCAGCCCACATATAACCAGAAGTGTTACCACTTTGACATTTATTTCCAGTCTAGCGCTAAATTGATGCACAAGATGAAGTCCGCTTTCATTTTTTCCCCAAGCATATTTTAGATTTCTTTTTTTTTTCCTGCTTAGGGTTTATTTTCTGTGCTTTATTTGAAATGATGATGCAAGCCCCAGAGGCTTCCACATCTCCCCTGACGCTGGGAGGTAGGAGTACCTGGACCACCCTACAGCTCTCTCACTAGCTGTGAAGATGGCTAGTGAACACTTCTTAACTCTGGACACCACTCTGTCCAACTCATGTTGCAAACTGGACAAGTAGCATAGGCAAAGTTTTTAAAAAAAACCACTCCATGCCCCAGCCCAGTTCACTCCAGTATTCTGTACGCCAGCTCTCAACTGACTGGTTCCCCAGTTCCTTTTCTGATAGCAGAAAATAGGGGTGTAAATTTTGCACACAATGGGGATCACCAGGAAGCACAGAAATGCTGATTTTCTTGAGAACAGGTGGGCTTTAGTGACTAAGGGAAAATAATTGTAAGTCACCTAGGTGGGACAGTGAATAGAGTGCTGGACTTGGAATCAAGAAGAGGAAGATGAGTTCAAAATCCTGCCTAAGATACATCCTAGCTGTGTAACCCTGGGCCAGTCACTTAACCTCTCAGGCTCAGTTTCCTTATATGTAAAATGGGGATAATAAGAGGACCTACCTCACAGAGTTGTGAGGATCTGATAAGCTAATGTGTAAAGTGCTTTGCAAACCCAAAAGTGTTCTATAAATGTTGGCTATTATTATCATCTTTGTTTTAAAAGAATGTGATCAAAGATAGAAAAAGCAAACTCCCCTTTAGCTCCAACTCATTTGGGTTTGGGGGGAGAGGGTTTTTTTTCTCTTTTTTGTTTTTAAGAGATAGCAAGATCCTGTGGACCTCTGATATATTGAACCCCTTGGGGAAATAATTTGTCTAGTCATTATCTTTAAAGAAGCAGGAAACATTCTAGCAGCAACTGGTTAAGACCTCATACTGTGGATGACTTTTGCCACAGGAAACTCTCTGTAAGCAACTTATAGAGCACCAACAGACCAGCGAAATATTTGAGCCCATCCCCTGTTGGAGGTTAGCATTATTAGTGGCTGTTCCTGTCTTTAGGCCAAGACCTCTGATATTTCTCTTTGCTCACATCCAATCCCTTAATTTTCTCTTGGTCCTGGCTTCTTATTTTGAGACCCTCTGAGCAGTTAGGTATACTGGTCTACCTACCTTAAAGCCCAGAGGGACTTTAAAATCTCACAGGGTAGAGGATGGATGTCAGGTACAAACCATTTATTTGAGTTCCTCATTGTTTTCTGGGGCTGCAAATAATAATAATGCCTTTACAACAATACCTCCTGCTCAGTCAGAGCTCTTTTACCTGGTTTCTCTCCTTTGATATTCATCATAGGGTTTTTTTTTTCCAGTTTAGGTGGAAGCAGGTATTGTTGTCTCTTTTTTGCAGATGAAAAAACATAAAGAATGGGGATGACTTAGAATCATAAATTCATAAGATCATAGGTTTAGAGCTAGAAGGGGCCTTAGAAAGTCCAACCAACTTATTTTACAAATGAGGAAACTGAGGGACAAAGAAGTTAAGTGACTTTCCCAAGGTCAAACTGCTACTAAATGTCTGAGGTGGGATTTGAACCCAGGTCTTTTGACTCCCAAGTCCAGAATGTAAAGGGACATTTGTGATCTTGGACAAAATACTTCCCCACTTAAGGTCTCGATTTTTCTCATTTGTCAAATGAGGGGATTGGACTAGATAATCTTCCCATCTCTCCTATGCCTTTGGAGATCACCTAGTCTATCCCTTCATTTTTAAGATTAGGAAACAAAGAACCAGAAAGGTGACAAACTGGAACTAGTCCCCTGGGTTCTTGCCAGTGCTTTTTCCTTCCTCTGTAGCAGACTGGTTTTGTATGTTTGTTTTCTCCTATCATGGAGGCAGCATTGGCCCCTGGACCCCATACCAACGAAGCCCCCTGTTATGGAAGGAACTGTTACCAAGCAGTGAGCAGTGACAAACTCTTCAAGAAGTTCCTTCTACTTTCTAAAGAACAGTCCTGCCTCACCCAACCCATTCTTCTTCTTGAAAGGGGGAAGAAGGGAGGGAGAAAGTACTAAGTGTCAAGGCTGGTGGGGCACTCAATGCAAGGCAGATGGGAAAGGCTTTCTGGGGGGGAAAATGGAAAAAAACTCAGGAGTACCGAGGATGCTAGAAAATGACTCCCAGGCTGTCGTCACTCTTGGGGAATAGGGCAGTAGAAAAGACACCGTGGTATTCTCCTGCAGAGTGAGAGACTGTTTATTTTTAGGAAAGAAATCAGCGTGGGATGCTAGAAATTTGGCTGCTATGAGCAGTCACGATGGAAATTTCTTCCACTGTGGGTATCACGAAAGAGAAATGAAGGTCTGTAGGAGGGGAGTTTATTTACATACCCTCTGAAGAAAATCATGTTAGCAAGGGAAATAGACTCTTCTGTTGCAAGATTAGCAACCCCCCCCCCGCCCACACACACACACTGGCAGCTTCTGGGATGATTCCTCCATTAAAAGATGGCTGACTGGAGATTTCAGGCAAACAGTACAAAGGCAAGATGGAGGTGTTAATGGAAGGAGCCCGATGGTGCAGAGTGTGGGAGGACATTAAGGAGAACAGGGATAGGAGGAGCTCTGGGAGCTTGGGGAAGGTAGGAGGTAGAGGAAAAGAGGGAGAACACACAGCATTAGAGACTGAAAGGTTTTCCTTTGCCTGAGACTGTCAGAATCGCCTAGGAGAGAGCTGAGCAAGAAAGTAGCATCCCAGTTATTAATGTAGAGAAACAGCCTAAGTGAGAACAAGAAGATACAGTGTTAAAAGGGGGATTCCATTGTAAAGGTCCTAATCCAAATGGAAGTTTAGCTTTTTCCTTCTGTCCACGAGAATAACCCCATTCTGTTTCTATGGCTTGTTAGAGTATAATCTAACTCTTTTCTAGTAGTAAACTATGCATCCCCTATCAATGTCCTTTGACTATCAGGAATGTATCAGGACTGTGATAAAATAGGCCAATATGCCATTTGGTACAGTTTTTAT